CATCCAAAGCTACGCCCTTCGATACCTGCTGCCTCACGGCCCGAATCGGTGGCACCGCCACCTTCACCACACGCCTGGCCACTGGGCCTCCAACCGGGGATGAGCTTCGGGCACTTCGACGGTTTGCTGTCTTCTTGTTGAAGGGGTGTCCTTGGGGCTTCTTGTTGGGTCTCAAGCCTCACCTCCACGTACCATGTGAGTGGTTGTCAAAATTGTGGTCCCTTTTTGGGTCCTTATTGCAATACGGCACCTAATATTTAGGGTACCCAAAAAGGGACCCTAATTTTGACAGCCACACACGTAAAGGCTTCCAGTTTTTGCGGACATGGGGTTCAAAGTTTAGGTAACCTGGGTTTGGAGTACCATACTTGAATACTTTTTTGGGGTACCTGTTCCTTAAAGGAACCATTATGAAATAAAAGTCTATACTTTTTTCTCCCTATTTACTTCAAAGTTTAGGTAAGGATGTTCAAAGTTGAGGTTTTTGAGGTTAAGGCTCGGTTCAGAGGTTGAGACAGGGGCTCGGTTCAAAGGTTAATAGAGGGGCCTGAGTATTAGTCTATGGTTTGGGGTCTATTGTGAGTTAACTATTGAGAAAGAACCCCAACAAGGAATGTCTATTTAATTACTAAGACCCGATATTATCAAAGATGTGTTTTTTCCACGCTTGCTTTTGGGGACTTTCCCTGCTGTTGTAGCCCAGGTCACCCGAACGGACATCGTGGCGGCGACGCTGGAAGATGTGCCCGAAGATGCTATTAGAAAGATGGTAGCGGTAATAGCACCAGATAACCCCCAAACCCTAAACCCTAGGACCCCAGACCCAAAACCCTAATAGTGACATCAACGTACCAACAACCCAAATGTCCACCTAGGTCCGGCTTTCGGCTTTCTTCGAGGTATGTAACGGTTTGGAAGTCTTTCTGGGTGCCCTTCAGGGGTCCTTTAAATTAAAGCCTTTAAAGGGTTCCTAGAAAGGGTTCCTTTCAGGGTTACCATATGGGATTGCAAGGGGTTTGGTAGAGCTGAAGCCGCTAATTATTTGGTATGGTCTTTGGGTCATCCAGCACGGAGGCGTTTCGGGACATATTTTTTAGAGTGAAAATCGGTACTACTATATTGTTGCTGATAGGGGCTACCACATTGCTGCTTATGGTTTAACCTGAACCTTGAATCCTACAGTTTTTCTCCTTATAAACCCTGAATGAACCCACCCTCAATGAGCCCAAGAAGCCCTCAGCCCAAGCGGCCGCACTCAGCCCGCAATCGAAACTGAGATGCAGTGGCCCCAAGCTTTTTTATGAATTAAGCTGCGCCTAAAGTCCTGGGGCCCCAGAAGCCCAAGCCCCGGCATGCAAATCGTTAAAGTAAAGGCCAGAAAGTTGGAATATGATTATCCTAAACCCTTTATTTATGGTAAATTATAAGGTATCCTACCCTGAAACCATATTCCAACTTTCTGGAGTTCCCTGTAAACCCGAAAGGACACAGTTCCCAAGCCCCAAAACCCTCAACCCCAAAGCCCCCAAAAGGCCCAAACCCCAACAACCGCAGCCCAGAAGAAAAGCAGAGGCTTCGTTCGCCTGTGTAACATAGAGGCCTTTACAACAGCCTACACTATGTTGGGGGCTGCTTAATTACAGTATTATGGCCCCTTAAACCCTATTCTAATCATTAAGGCCCCTTTACTACACCCTTATAGTACCCTTATAGTACCCCTTTAAACGAACCCCATATTCTAAACATTAAGGCCCCTTTTTTTAGAGACCCAAGAAGGTGCGCTACAAGTTGCGCCTGGGCATCGACGAGCTGACCCGAGCTTCCATTGAAGATGAGGAGCTGACTCAAGTACCCGAGGCCCGGTCTGCCCAGGGACTCCAAGATCACTGAATTCAGGAATATAGGATTCCCTAATATGAGTTAAGGTATATTCCTTAGTTCAGGAATATATACCCTCAATTATAGTTTAGATCCCTCCTCTCAGTTAAGGTATATTCCTTAACTAAGGAGTACCCGAGGCCCGGAAAACGGTGTACGGAACATGGGGGTCTCTATTGCTGCTGCTGCTGCTGCTTCTGGTTTAGGGTTTAGGGTTAATGCTTTTGCTGCTGCTGCTACTACTACTACTGCTACTACTACTACTACTACTACAAAACTTTCACTCGACTAATGGATGTCTTTCTCATAAGTCCCTTGAAACGCCGTCTTGCTTCAGGTCTTCCTCCGGAAATCCGGGCACATCAACCACTACAAAGAGAGCAGCACGGTCCGCTACACCGGCTAAGAGGCTGGGGGATGCTTGTTAGGGACCCAAAAAGCCCATAAGCATAAGCAATATATTTCGTTATCCCTACCTTATTGGGCTTCATTAGAACCGGGTTTAGAAGAGATATCCCTATCCTAGTTTCTGCTTATGTGCTTTGGGGCCCTAGCTTGGGGTCCTGGGCTGAGGGTGGAAGGCTGAAAGATGCTTGGGCTTTAGGGTATCGGCCCTAGGAGTTCAAAAAAAGAGGTGCCTTAATGATTAGAAAATAGGCTTCCTTTAAAGGGGTACTATACATAAAGGTGTAGTAAAGGGGCCTTAGTGATTCAGTGATTAGAATAGGGTTTTGGGGCCCATGAGACGGCAATTACAATAAGGAACCCCCCAACATAGTATTGGTAATTATTTAGGACCTATAGCAGGTTGTAGGACTTGGGGCACGAGGTTTATGGGGATGAGGATGTCAGGTTCGGGTTGTATTTGTTGGGGTTCCTGTTAAGGAACTACCCTCCGGTGGTACTCAGATTACATGTGGATGTATCCCTTTGATTTGAACACTTATCTTGCCATGCTTACACCCTAGAACCTAGCCTACACTCTAACCGTTACTAAACCATTAACCCTGAGCCCTTAGCCTTAATCTTGACCCCAACTAAATCCATAAACCTTAAACCCTAAGCCTGAGCCGTAAACCGAACTTGCTTCCTCAGACCCCTTCCGCTTTGTGCTGGCAGGATTCGATTACGAAGCCGCTCCGAGTGACCCCCACCAGCTTGTGGGTACCAATAGGCCCCATAGTAGTGGAGCCTCTATGTATTTTATAGAGACCTTGGTAACTGTGGCTTGCATATTATGGTGTTGATATAAGAAGGAGCCCTAAGGAATAGTTTGGCTGCAGGCCGTGCGGACAGATGGCAATAGAATTAGGATCAGGGCTTTATGTAAAGCTTTGGGTCAGGATGCGGACTCAAGGTTGGGCTCGGGGTTTCAGGGTCGAGGGAGGAAGTTTCACCAACTCGATAATGTCTGGCACCGAGGGGGAGCAATACCTCCTGTCCTGTGCGGAACTTGCATGGCCACCTCAGTCCAAGAAAGGGTCCCGAATCCTAAACCTACCCAAATGCCGTATTTCTTGGACTGTCCCTCGCAGTTTTCTTTGTGAGCAGCATTGCTGGTGAACAAGACTCCCCTGGCCTAGTCTGAGTGTCCTGGCAGTAAGGGTTTAGGGACTCGGATTCTGGGGAGGATCAGTATACCCGTAGGCCCCAAAGTAGTTCCGTTTTGGGAATACCTTATACAGGGTTGAGCTGTAAGGGTTTTTAGGGGAAGTGGTGAAACCGTTTTCGTGTGAGCTGATTAACTGCATTTGCTAAACAGCTTGCCTCCACCTGCCGGTCGTTTATCTTGTTTGCTAAAACAGCTTGCCTCCACCTGCCGGTCGTTTATCTTGTTTGCTAAAACAGCTTGGGTCCACCTGCCGGTCGTTTATCTTTTTGGTTCAGCCGTTCCATTAAGTGAGGGAGGCTGGGGGCCCCAGTCCTCCTCGCTTAACGGGACGGTCGTAAAGGGCAGGATCCATACATAGGGAGGGGCAGGGCGGCACGTAAATCCTCACTTGGGTATTAAAAATAGGATTCTATAGATGAACCCCCAAAAGGAACTATTTTGGGGCCTTAAGGTAGAAACAGAAAAAGGATTCCTTTAATATGAGGCCGTTAAATCCGACGGTTCGTTTAGGGCCTAAACAAGAGGTGCTATGAGTGGGGGCGTGGTAAGGAACTTAACTCAAGCGTCTTGACCGGGTTTACAGGTCTAGAAGCAAGGCTCAAGGCATCTAGTTTAAGTAACCGTACTAGGGACGTATGATATAGCAGGCAGTGAACTACAATCTTTATAATGCCTCAACTTAACCTAAGTCACTTCGCAAGAAACCAGGAGTTGTTCAGCCTTTGTCCTGTAATGAGGAATCCCTGTGCTCTACTGGGTTTTGTTTCTGAGGGCTTCTGGAGATGAAGGTAAGAGGCACCGGAGGCTAGTCATGCCAGTGGAATTGTCAAACTGTAGTCTCGGAGGGGGGTGTTGGTGCTGTGGTTCATGTTATGATGCTGGTGATGGTAGCCCTAAGCCCTGAACCTAAACCGCCAAACCCCCAACCCTAAATGCTGCCCTAAATGCTGGTCCTGAGGCTGATGATGCAATGACAGCGCTGTTCCCACTGGCGACCACCAGCCTCATGATGACAGTGAGCATGCTGGCAGTAAGGAGATTGCTGGGGGTGATGATGGTGATGATGAGGGTCATGTTGATAAGGATGAAGCTGAGGAGGAGGAGGAGGAGGAGGATGGCCAAGAAGAAGAAGCACAGGATGATAAGGAGGGTGTCTATCATGATGCTGGCGATGATGAGAGGAGTGCGACAGGAATGTCGATGCTGGTGCAAACCTTAAACCCTACACCCGAAGCCCCGCCACCCTGATGTTGGCGACAAGATGTTGGAATGAGTCCAAGGGGTGTAATGAGGACGCAAGGCTCAGGCTCAGGTGCCTCAGACAGATACAGGGTCTTGAATGATTGCAGAAGGTCTTGGAGTATAGGCTAGTGTAACTGTAATCGGAAACCATAAGGATTGTACTATTGGTAACTACTCAGGCTTGTCAACCTTACACAGATCATCTTGCGACCTAATTCAGCTTCTAGTTGAAATTGCTGAGCTTGGGACTGCTTCCCAGAGCGACGAGGTCGCGGGTGATGCAAGATGTTCGCAAGATGGTTCTGAACCTCATGCCGCAGCCTCAGTAAGATGATGCAGGCGTGCACGGCGTGTCTTCGTTTGTGACATTTGCACGGGGAAGAAGAGCCTGAATTATCGTTTTCTTCCGGAAGCTCTGCACGTGTACCGCTATGCAGCTTATGGGATGCCTCAGGAATTGCTTGGCCCTTAAAACCCTATACATAAACTAAACTCATACCCCAAACCCTCAACCCTCTCAAAAAAATCAAGCCTTCAAGAAGAGTTGCTCCAAGGTCCGACAATGCCAAAGGAGCTACTGGCCGAAACTTGGTTTGGCTGGAAAGGCGCCTCACTGAATCACCTCCCTGAGTCATAGCCTTTTGCCATTTGGAGTTTCTTTGTATCTATAAACTGAGTATTAGGAAGAAAAGGGTACCTTCAGTATTGATGGGTTATAAGGATGTATACAAGGAAGTCATAAGAAGGAACCGAAGAAGGTAGATAAGTTTTGTAGGGTTCAGGTAGGGCCGGTTCAGGGCCTGAGGGGTTAAGAAATGACTCGTACTAGGGTGTTGGATGTAGGTTTAGGGGTCAGGATTTAGGGCCTGGGGTCTTAGGATTTAGGGCCTAGGGCTAATCTCCCACTTAAATTGGCGAGCTACCTTCGCTTCAACTGTCAGATCGATAAGGGTTTAGGGGTGCTCGGGGCTTCGGGTTTAGGGTAGGCTCAGCCCTACTGCTAGTCAGGTACACCCCTCGAACCCAAAAAGCCTAGATCTTATCAACCCCACCTTGTTGACACCGTGAGAAGTAGCCGCAGCAGGTCATAATCTTGTAAATGTACCATAATGTCACCCCAAAACCATATTGCAATTATTGGGAACCCGTGTGTTTCACTGTTCCGGGGATAGGTTCCCACTCCGCCCTCCTCTGAATTATGAAGGACCCCACAGCAAACAACCAGGTCCATAGGCAGCTTCAGACGAAACTTATCACAGCGAGTGAGTAAATACACAAACGTATCTCCTCGAAGTGTACAAAGCCTCGAGCCCTAAACCGCATGCTAACTAAAGCAGCCTCTAACCCCGGACAGGTTGCAGCTCGTCGACGAAGCTTCGATTGGAAAGTTGCATCCCAAGCTTTTCTTCGTATGTGCTCATTTTCATGATGTTGAGGATGACTGCTGCCATGACGATCGTGGTGACACAGATCATGTTGATGTTGATGCTGCTGATTCTGCTGCCAGTGCGGATGATGGCACTGCTGCCGCTGTCGGCAGTGGTTGTTTGGACACTTGGGGTGAAGTTCATGTAGTAAATGTAGTCCTGGCAGCACTCCTACATCTCAGACATGCCTCTAGGGTACGGATCGCAAGTCCGAAATTAAGCACCGAGGCATGTAGCGCAGGACTGGGGCATCGAGCGTTCGATGCAGCCGTTGTGAATGTGCAGCATGGCCGTGCCCTTTACGCATCCTCTCGTCCTGCCCTGCTACGTGCTTGCCAAACGATGCCGACAAGATTTCGGGAGACCTGCTTGGCGTGTTTGCCGCTCACGGTTCTTGCCGAGGCGTCAGCAGCAGGTAATTACATGCCTTAACAGGCTTGGTCGGCGCTTTTCTGTTGCCGTGAGGCGAGGGAAAGGGCCTGGTAGCTTTGGGGTTGCCGGGGTCGCACAGAATGGCTTCCGGGCAAGGCCGACAAAGCCAACGAATTGACGTTCGTATCGTTCCTTCTGTTGAGCCAGCCGAGATGTCGTTGAAATCGAAGAGCGATGACACTCGATTTTTCTGTGTATGTCCGTTTGTTGGCACCTATACGTACGCACACCCCACGCGATTGCATGATGATTGCAAGGGGGAACATCTCCAACCAACTGTCCCACGTCCATCGTGCGGCGCAGAGCAGAACCCGCAGCCATGGCAGTGCGAACTTGTCACGACGTGGATGTAACACCCTGCCCCCCTGTTGAAAGTTGTGCTTCGAGTTGGCCTGGTTTTGGCTAATCGTCGGTCTGTGTGTTTAGGACTCACCGCCTTCACGTCTCTCAGCAGAGCAATCTTGTGTCTGGCTTCTTGATTTTTGGTGCACACTCTTGGGACTCTTGGGGCCAGGGCTGTTTAGGCTAGGGTTTGGGGACTGGTGAGTGCAGCGACACCTTCCGGGACTCCCTCCGACTCGTGTGGCCATCGAGCTGCGTTTTCGGGCTTGACCGCCCCTGCGCGCACGTACTCTGTAGCACAGGATGGAATCCGGCGAGCTGGGCAGCTGACGCAACGGGTCAGAGCCAAAGATGGGGTATGCCGCTGAGAGTGCACTGTGCACTTCCTGTTGGGCCGTTCCTGTTATCGGCGCCCAGTACCCGGCCGCGCCAGAGTCGCAGTCTGCAGACTCCAGTCAGGCGCCTACAGTCGTTACCCGGGCTTGGCTAGAGCCCCTTTCCTGCCCAGCGTCATCGCACGTGGGACGGTCATCATGGCGTGCTCGTACTATCACGGTGTCCAGCTGACATGTATCATGTGATACTCGTCATAGCGACCTGAACAACACAACGTATGCGTGGGATGCAACTGTACTCGTCTTAAGCGTATAGCCGATTGAACATAGACGGCTTCGACGGCTTTTCAGCAGCCAACCGTTTCATTCGGCAACATCTCTGCGGCAAGCGGTAAAATTTCGCTGGCTTGATGCCTCGATTGTAGGAAGGTGAGCCGCGCATGGGCACCCCACGAAGAATTAGCCCGGTCCTACTTGACGTGAATGTGGCAGCTTCGTGCCTTGAGGCTCGTGTAAGGCCGCCTTAGCATTTCCCTCGTGAGAAGCGCATCCGACGGTGACGCATAGAGAGTGGCTTAGTTGCGGGTTCGTATACCGCTTGCTTCTGATCAAAAAACTTCAATCGGCCACAAGTTGAAGCTGTTGCGAAAGGCTTGTTGGACGCTCCTGCCATTGATCATGGAACGCGAACTTTGAATTCGTGCCCCTACGCAAACACTGCAGAAAGCAACGGCACAAACGTTCCACAGCACGCACTGCCGAAACATGCAATGCAGGCATGTAAGCTAGGGAAGTCGTATCTTCGATTTCGCGGAAACGAGTTTTGTCACAGGATGGTACAAAAGCTTGGTTTTCCATTCTTTCGACAGCGGTTTGCCCACGCAGCGAAAGACGTTGCACCAACAATGTGCTTTTGGCATTCTGCCAGGCAAGCGTGCATGGTGTTTGGCTTTGCTGCATCACCCGAACCGCCGGCTGGAGTCGACTCGAGGGAAGTTGGAAAGACGGTGCACGCTGGCTGCTTGGCACTGCCGAAGTCGTCGCCTGCGACGTTTCCTCACGCGTGGTTTCACAGGATGAAGTGATGAGGCGGTGCATTCGTCAAGTTCAAGACCGCATGCTGTCCGAACTTTCGCAAAGCTTGTCGGGAATCCACTGCTCGTACCGCAGCTACCGTAACTGCTGCTATTGCTGCTGCTCCTCCTCCAACTCCTACTCCGACAAGTACCCCTGCGCCTACCCCTACTCCTAGTCCTAGTCTTAATCCTATTCCTACTCCTACGCCCACTCCTACCCCTACTCTCACTCCTACTCCTACTCATACTCCCACTCCTACGCCTCCTTACTCTTGTTCCTACTCCTATTCCTACTTTTATTCCGTTTTTTTTCTACACCTATACTCCTACTCCGACTCCTGTTCCGACTCCTACTCCTACCCCTACCCCCTTTCCCCCTCCTCCTCCTAGTCGTGCTCCTGCTCCTGTCCTGCTTCCGCTCCTGTTCCTGCTCCTGCTGCTCCTTGTCCTCCGCCTACTCCTACACCTACTCTTGCTCCTACCCCTACCCCTGCCCCTGGCCCTGCCCCTACCCCTACCCCTACTCCTACTCCTAGCCCTAGTCCTAGTCCTAGTCCTACTCCTATTCCTACTCCTACTCCTACTACTCCTACTCCTACTCCTACTCCTACTCCTACTCCTACTCCTGCTCCTACTACTACTCCTACTACTCCCCTCCTCCTCCTACAGCTGCGCCTGCTCTTACTCTTATTCTTAGTCGTACCCCTACTCCAACTCCAACTCCTCCTCTACCCTTCCTACGCCAACTGCTCCTACTCTCCTCCCCCTTGCTCGTGTTGCTCCTGCTCCGACTCCTATTTCTGTCAATGCGCCTGTTTTTTTCTTACGTCCATTCGGTCGCCCAGAACTACTCCTACGGCTTTTTACTTCCGCCTCTGCTGTTACGCCTCATCTTATGCCTAGTGGCCTACTGCTGCTCCTACTCCTACCACCACTAACGCGCGACGACTACTAGTAGTACCTTCATGTACTTTCACTGATATCACCACCGCCACCACGACCACTACTGCTAGTGTTGGTGCTACTTCTCCTGCTACTGCTACTACTACCACTACGACCACTACTATCACTACTATCACTACTACTATTACTACTACTACTATCACTACTACGATCACTACTATTACGACTACTACTACGCCTACTACTACTATCACTAATAGTGCTACTACTACTACTACTACTACTACTACTACTACTACGACTATTACGACCAGGACTAGGACTACGGCTACGACTGCGACTACGACGACGACGACGATTATTATTGTTATTATTTATATTATTATTATTATTAGTATTATTACTATTACTATTACTATGACTATGACTATTACTATTACTATTACTATTATTATTACTATTACTATTACTATTACTATTACTATTACTATTACTATTACTATTACTATTACTATTACTATTACTATTACTATTACTATTACTATTACTATTACTATTACTATTACTAATACTAATACTATTACTATTACTATTACTATTACTATTACTATTACTATTACTATTACTATTACTATTACTATTACTATTACTATTACTATTACTATTACTATTACTATTACTATTACTATTACTATTACTATTACTATTATTTAATATTATTACTGTGACTATCACTATTACTATTACTATTAC